CCCCGTAGCGGCGGGGAGAGGCCGGGTCGCCCCAACCCGGAGGCGGGGGTTGCGGGGACTGGGAGGGGACTGGCTGGGTTCACCCGCCCGCCCGGCGCCTTGGGTCCTCTGCTCCAAGGGATGCAGTTTCGGGGTCACGAGCTGTTTTCAAAAAGTTGAACACAATATTCGGAAACCCACCCGTAGGAATTCTCCCCCCACACGCGGCACAATACCCACTCCCCTCCCCTTTTTCATTCCTTCCTCCCCCGCTTCCTCCTCCTGCCCCTTCCCCCTCCCACCCTTCAGCCTATAATCCTTCCCCTACGAGAGAAAGGGATCGGGAAGAAAAGATGAAGTGTCTGTTTTTGTGTCCCAATCTTAGGGCTCTTTCTGGTCCCGCAGTAAACGACCGCCCAGAGCTTCGCAGATGAGCAGAAAAGGCCCACGGCCGGGAGGAAGATACACCGAGGGGAGAGAGATACGGATCCCTACGAAGTGGGGCTTAGCCAGTCTTCCCTTTGGGCAAATATTTTTCTGCCTCAGTCAGCGGGTTTAGGACCAGCAACCCTGGCTCCCTGGGGCTGAGTGGGCCGGTGTCGCAGCCTCTTTGCTGCAGTGGAACTTCTGAAACAGCTTCATTTCTCTGCCCAGGAGATCTGGCTCTGGGGGAGTCAAGGCCTAAGGAGGGCCAGAACTTGAGATTTAGGGGATGGGACACTTGCAGCCCCAGTCGTGTTAGCTTTCCCACTTAAATTCTCTCACATCTCTTTCTCGCCTCCCTCTTTGAGATCTCCACAGCGGTGTGGACTGGGCGCCTCACCCCAAGATCTGCATCGGAATGTAGAAAAGATCTTTTTTGAAAAAAAAAGTTTTGAATTCCTCAATGATTTTTCTTCTGGAAAGGCAGCTTAGGATAATTATTTCAGCTTTATTGAGGGCAGATTAGTTGAAGTCTGGACGCTGCGTTTCAATACACGTTGTACACGGGCCGACAATGTGGGCATTGTTGGCTACTGTGTGTGAACTCATTCAAAATATACACTTTTTAACACCAAACCGAATCCTGTCTAAATATACACAGTGCTCAGGGGGAAGACGTCTCTGACCCTGACAAATCTGCGCAAATCACACTTCCATAGTTACAGAAGCCTCACAAAGGGAGGCCTGGCTCAAGATGCTGATTACATCTTCTTAAAAGCAACATACCTTAGAAATAAATACCCATGCTTGGCCTGGGGGCTGCAGTGGCTGGAGGGAGGGAGGGCTCTCTCCATGCTATGGGCCTTTTGGGGGTTTGTTTTAGGTTTGTGTTATTACTTTCATTAGAGGAATAAGTTTTATTATTTTTTTCTTTACAATATGAGCGAACAAGCAATATTCAGGCCTATCTACTTCTTTAGGGCAGCCTCCGAGGTTTGAGTGCCCTTCCAGGGCTAGTAGGCAGACCCAAGCTCCTTGGAGGGTGTCAGGGTAGCCGGCATCTTGGGAGAGGGGCAGGGGGCTTACAGGCTTCCCAGCTGAACCTTCTCCACAGCTCCTAGGTAGGCAGCTGAAATCTGGGGGGAAACAAAGAGGCGTATTGCTTTTTAAGATGGAAAATGTACTGCTATTTAAAAATAGAAGGCTATAGGGGAAATCAAGGATCCTTGACTGGGGGCAGAGTTAAAGAGAAGCTGGATCCAATGCAGAGGATGTTAGGGTAAATGTGGTGGAGGATTGTAGACCAGGGAGGCCATAGAGACTTCCAGCACCCTGGGTCCTGGACTCTGGCTCCCAGGCTCCAGCTGCCCCCCAAATCCGAGATCCGGGGCGCAACGGCCTGCCAGGCCAGGATCGGCGCCTGGTGGGCCCCATGATCTCACTCTCCTTTCTTCCTCGCCACTATTAGTGCTCACATAGGCAGAAAGAGACGGCCCGACGTGCACACCATGTGCAAACCGTGCTGGCTCCTCCGGCCCTCGGCCTCTCCTAGGGGGCTGGCCCTCGGCCTTCATGCAGCGTGGGGAGCCTCTCACTTCCCAACAAAATCCCCCCTTTAATTGCTCGTCCCATTCAACAACTTATGCCCATGGCTTTTTGAATTTCTGGATCAACTTCTTTGGAGAAGAGAGAGCTCAGAGACAGCGAGGAAAAAGAAGGGGAGGGGGAGAAAGGAGAGAGAGAGAGAAACTAGTGAGATTAAGAGTTGCAAAGATTTTTTAAAAATTCTCTTTCTCCCCCTTCTCCCTCTTTCCCTCCTCTCCCCCTCCCCCCTCCCACTCTGGCTAAGTGGTAAAACCGTCCTTACGTTCTCGGTATTGATTGGCAGGGCTGACAGTGATTGGCAGTGGTTGCCGTGGCAACGCCACAACGACACTCCGCAGACCAATAGAAAAGCGAAACAAAATGTTTCAATGCTGCACTCACTGTGGATTTAGGGGAGATATTATGAGGCTGTTGTCATTAGGGCGATTGCTGTGGAATCGCTGAATCTTGACTCGGCGGTGGTTGGCTCTCGCTCGCTCGCTCTCCCTCTCGCTCTCTCTGTCTCGGGTTCTCTCTCTGCGCGCGCGCACCGGGCCGCTCTCCTTCCTCCCTCTCTATGTGGCTGCGCGGGTGTGTGTGTGTGTGGATGTGTGTGGGGTGTGGGTGTCCCTTACGCCCTTCCTCCTCCCCCTCCTCCTCCTCCTGCTCCCCCCTCCTCCTCCTCCCTCCTCCTCCTCCTCCTCCTCCTCCTCCTCTCCTCCTCCTCCTCCTCCTCCTCCTCCTCCTCTCCTCTCCTCTCTCTCTCTCTCTCCCTGAATTTTCTCCTCTCCTCTCAGGTCAGTCCATGGTATTCCGCTCCCCCCTAGACCTCTATTCCTCCCACTTCTTGTTGCCAAACTTCGCCGATTCTCACCACCGCTCCCTACTTCTGGCGAGTAGCGGCAGCGGGAACGGTGCGGGAGGCGGCGGCGGCGCGGGAGGAGGCGGCGGCGGCGGGAACTGTGCGGGAGGCGGCGGTGCTGGCGGAGCAGGCGGCGGCGGCAGCGGCGGCGGCTCCAGGGCCCCCCCGGAAGAGTTGTCCATGTTCCAGCTGCCCACCCTCAACTTCTCGCCGGAGCAGGTGGCCAGCGTCTGCGAGACGCTGGAGGAGACGGGCGACATCGAGCGGCTGGGCCGCTTCCTCTGGTCGCTGCCCGTGGCCCCCGGGGCGTGCGAGGCCATCAACAAGCACGAGTCGATCCTGCGCGCGCGCGCCGTGGTCGCCTTCCACACGGGCAACTTCCGCGACCTCTACCACATCCTGGAGAACCACAAGTTCACCAAGGAGTCTCACGGCAAGCTGCAGGCCATGTGGCTGGAGGCTCACTACCAGGAGGCCGAGAAGCTGCGCGGCCGCCCACTCGGCCCGGTGGACAAGTACCGCGTGCGCAAGAAGTTCCCGCTGCCGCGCACCATCTGGGACGGCGAGCAGAAGACGCATTGCTTCAAGGAGCGGACTCGGAGCCTGCTGCGGGAGTGGTACCTGCAGGACCCCTATCCCAACCCCAGCAAGAAACGCGAACTGGCGCAGGCCACCGGCCTCACTCCCACACAAGTAGGCAACTGGTTTAAGAACCGGAGGCAGCGCGACCGCGCCGCGGCGGCCAAGAACAGGTCAGTGGCGGGACCCGCGGCCTGGGCTACGGTCTCCGTGGCCGAGGAGGGAGAGAGGGGTTGAAAAGAGGGCGAGCGGACAGGAGGCGAGTGGCTGCTCTCGAGAAGCCAAGACCTCCTGGTCAGTTGGAGAAAGTTTCCGCTTGCCCAGGCACGGGGAAGAGGGGTGGGTGGTGGGTGCATTGATTACTTTGCCTGAAAGGGGCTTTCGTCAGGTGGAGAGAGTGTGTGGGGCACTGAGGGCCCATAGTCCCCGGGCCAGGGCCCTGGGAGCCTTAGCTCTGCACTGCACTGGCGCCCGCCTCCTCATTCCAGGATGCAGTGCCGGGCTCCTCTGGAGTCTACAGACAGGAAAGGAAGGAAAGTGCTCCTTGCCACCTGATTCTTATTTCCATGTATTGCAAAAATCCAGGGAGGAATCCACGAACTTCTGGGAGAGGAAACTGAACCGGGTCCCTGCCACAAAAGGGAGCGGCCAGTGGCTATCATGCAGCGGGCCTCCTCCCCAAAGCATTGCAAGTTGTCTGACCAGGAGCAGATGAGCAGGGCTGGGAGTGGAGAGGCTGTGTGTGTGTGTGCGCGCGCTCTCGCACGCTCCCGATAGCTCTCCTGATCCAACCACGGAGCATCTCTTTGGTCCACTAAATTGGGAGGTGGGCAGGAGCAGAAGCTACCTTGCTGCCGGAAGTTGGCCAAAAAGTCACAAAGTTGTACTGGGCTTGACCTGTCAGCAGAGCTAGGCCTGGGGGAAGTAGGGAGGAAAATAACTAGAGGGGAATCAGGGAAAGAGGAAAGAAGAGGGGAGGGAAAGGGGAAGAGAGGAAGTTGGGTGAAAGCCCCGATGGGCAGCCTGTGTCCCAGCTCTGCTTGGAAAGGCACTGGGCCTGGTGTCAGGGCCCCAGCTACTGACAGCTGCCCGGGCTGGGGGCTGGGTGTGAGTTCCTGGAGGGAGTGAGTGTGTTAAGGTGTAGGTGGCCCAGGCCTGAGCCTTTGACCCTCTCACTCTTGCCTGTGGGGCCAAATTTTCGCCCAATGGGGGGAGCGCTGAGGTCCAGGAGAAGGCCTCCTAGTGGGGAGAATGCAAGACACTAGGTTCAGGCAGCCTCTGCCAGGCATGGGAAACCGGCAGCGGGAGACTGCTTTGCGCTCCCTTCCTGTCTTTTCCATCTCCCCCTTGTCTCTCCCTCCTCTTCCCTCACTTTTCTGATCCCAGCTTCCCCATTTTCTCTTTCCCCATCCAGCCCTCTGCTCAGGGATCCAGAGAGCAAAGCCAAACGGTCCTATCCGGGAGAAGCAGCGGGTGAACAACCCGCAGCTCTGGATTTGTGTTTGGGGGAGCTGAGGCAGGAGGCCTTGAGGGGACTGGTCTGCTTCAGGGGCAGCCGGCAGAGTCTGAAGAGTCCCAGGGGCAGGGGAAGAAGAAATACTCTGCCTCTCCCAGACTTCTGCTCCTTCGGGGCTCGGCGTCCTTCGCAGCATGCACCCGGGCCTCCCCAGCCGGCCGGCCTTGGGTTCTACCTCTCCCCTGAGGCCCGCCCGACCTGGGAAGCTTTAGGAGGCTCCAGAGAGCCCCGGGGAGGCGGGGATGAGAGCCAAGACCGCGCTGGGGAGGCTCTGCGGCGCTCAGAGAGCCGCCGGGTGCCTGGAGGAGGGAGATGAGCGTAGAGAGTAGAGTCGGGGTTGACGGTGAAGGGCGCGGGGTTCGGGAGGCCGAGGAGCACGGGCGGCGGCAGACCCGACTCTCGGCGGCGCGGGCTCAGGGAGGAGGCTTGGCGGAGCCGGGTAGCGGGGCTGCTGTGTCAGGGCGGGCGCTGCTCTCTGTCTCCCGCAGGCTCCAGCACCAGGCCATCGGACCGAGCGGCATGCGCTCGCTGGCCGAGCCCGGATGCCCCACGCACGGCTCGGCAGAGTCGCCGTCCACGGCGGCCAGCCCCACCACCAGCGTGTCCAGCCTGACGGAGCGCGCGGACACCGGCACCTCCATCCTCTCGGTAACCTCCAGCGACTCGGAATGTGATGTATGATATCCAAGGCCGCCCTCCTGCCCCTCCTCCCCCTCTTTCTTCCCCTCCTCCTCCTCGCCCTCCTCCTCTTCCTCTTCCATCCCCAGAACAAACCGAAATCAGGATACACAATCATCCACACACCCAAGTACACACACACATCCACTCCAGCCAAAAAATATAAAAAAGAAAAATAACAAATGAAACGCAAACCAACAACTCCCAACCACCATCTACCACCACGGCCACCCCAAAGGACTGCAACGCCAACAGACAGTCACAAACGCTGATGCTGCGGGCAGAAAACATAAAAGAGGTGACAATTGTATACTTTCTAGGACAAGCACGGCTTCTCCTTTCGGTTCCCACGGACCCGGCACCCCACCTGCATGACGATTTATTTGTATCTGGGAAAATATTCTCTCTAGTTTAAAATGGTTAAAAAAGAGTCGACTATACAAAAACCGACCACCACCACGATGACAAGATAACAAAGCAAAACAGACAAAAAGAGGAAAAAAAACCCCGCCATCTCCGTTCAGAATTTGTTAAAAAAAAAAAAGAACTCTTTGGGAGGGAAATAGCAAATGTTTCTCGCCTTTTGTTGCTCTTTCTCTCTTTTTTTCTCTCTCACTCTCTTTCTTTCTCTCTGTTTTTAAGTCCAAGTATTGGTCAAACAAGATGCAATCTTCTGTTTTTTGTTCAGCAGACAATCATTTTCTTGTTAAGCACCTTTTTCTCTCCACTCTGTCACTGCCTGTGTGGGTACTGGTTATAAATGTGGAAAAAGAATAGTTATGACTGTAACAGATTTTTATTTTTATTTCAAAATTTTATATGAATTATGTATATCTTAATGATCGGTCATTTTCCCAGTTTGTAATATATGTGTAGAAATTGCTTGTATATGATATTGCTTTTTCTCCTCTCCCTTTCTCTTTCTTTCTCTCCCATCTTCTTCCTCCCTCCCCGCTCACCTGTCTGTTTCCTTTTCGGGGTTCCCGTCCCACTCGGTGTTCCAGGCGTCGACTTGGCAGTCAAGGCGCGGCGTGGCGGGCTGGGTTAGGAAGAGGGACCCCGTCGCTAGCGAGAGCGGAGAGTGAGACCGTAGTATTCTTATGCAAAAGCTATTTCAAGTATTTCTTAGCTGCTTTGGAGATATCTCTCACTCCCCGTAGGGCGCTTTTACTGTTATCTTAACTGCGTGTTTATCTATATGTAAAAACTTTCTAAAGCAAATACAGTATTCTCCATTTTCTTATCACTCCCAGAGACCGGTGTTTTTGTCCGTCCCTGTGCCGCAGCCCCGGGGTGCAGCGGCCCGGCCTTCGTTTCCTCTCCAGCTGCGCCACCCAAGCTGGGGTAGAATTTTCAGGCTGGGTCTGAGCTTCTTCCGGGAGAAGGGGGAATGGTGGTGGTGGTGGTGGTGGTGCTTGGGAACAGGCCCTTCAGAAAAGAACCAAAGCCGAATCCCCTGCAAAAAGGCAGAGAGGGCGCAGAGAGAGGGGACTGCGGCCAGTTTCTTCAGCGGGAGAGGCCAGGCCTAGATCTCCAGGAACTGTAGCTGGTTAGGCTCTGGTGGGTCTTTGGCGTCTTTCGGTTGTTATTGCCTTTTTTTTTTTAAAGGGGAAACACACGGGGGTCGCCAAATGCAAGCATAAATCTAGAGCGGAGCAGACAGGTTTTGTCTTCTTTGGGTGGAGTTGGTTGGAGGGGGACAACTGTAGGCCGGGTGGGGAGGATAGAGAGAGAGGGAGGAGGTAGTTTGAGGAGTTTAGGGCCTAGAATCAAGATAGACCCCCTCCTCACCACCTGCATGTGCGCTTCTGTGTGGTTATGACTTGCCTTATGGCTCTCGATCTGTCTCCTTGAAATTTCTTTCCATCTTTTGATATCAACTGGGGTCTCTCGAGCCCCTAAGACATTTTACGGTAGGTTATACTTTAAAACGAAACCCCTCAAATCACTGCCTTTTGCCAATCGGGATCCCGCTGGCCCCAGGCTTCCCTGCCCCGCGCGGGGGTGGGGGAGCACAGTTCCCTGTGCTGGCGTGACTGGCGGTGCCTCCGCCGCTCTAGGCCAGGCCGGCCTGTGCCCGAGGACGAGCCAGAGAGGTAATTTCAGAAAACTTGCCTTCACTTGAAAGTCCAAAGCGAAGAGGATTAAGGAGAAACGTGCCTGGAATTTCGCGCCCGTTTCCAAACTAATTTTGATTTCCGATTATTTCCTTTTGTCCGCATCTCCAGCAGCACCATGAGGTTTACGCAGGCCAGGCTGGGCAGAAAGGACGCCACGACGGGGAGGCGCCCTGGGCGCGTGTGTGGCCTGGCGCGCCCAGGGCGCGCACTTGCGTGGAGGGGAAGGTTCCCGCGCGGGTGCTTACTTAGAATCAGGGCATTCGGATCATCTCCAGAGCTCCCAAGTTCTGTGGCCCGGCACGCAGTGTCAGAATCTCTGCGTGTGTTCACTGCTGGGGAAACGATCCTCAGGGAGCCACATTTCAGGCAATAGTGGGGAAGGGGCCTTCCGGGTTCCACTCAGCTTGGGCCTCTGTTCTGGTGCACAGAATGATGTCTGGGGTGAGGGGCTGTCTCCTACCCTTGTTTTCAAATGGCCTGTCACATATTTGACCCAGACCTTGGGCCTGGAGACCCAAGAAGTGGCTGCCTCAGACAGCACGGAGGGTCTGGATAGACCCTACCCAACTGACTGACCAGAACTGATAGGTGGAAGAAAAGGTATGGCACTGCTGGAGGGTGACCCCTGGAAGGGCCTTGACTGGTGACAGACACTAGGCAGCAGATGCCTTTTTGTCTAGGGACAGGGGATAAACCAGTGGAATTAAAATTCTTCCTTCTCTCAACATAACCAACAGAGAAAACGTGTTTGGGGCATCCGGTGCCAATTCCTCCTTCTCCACTTTGGCTTCAGGGGCCTAGGCCCTGTTGGATGTCACCAGTCTGCTGTCTTTCCATCCTCCTATCTCTCATCTGCCACTCTCATCTCCTATAGTTCTACCCAGGTCTGTGCAAATACCAGTGATCCACTTTCCGACTTACCTACAGATCCCCTGCAGGAGAGGCATGAGTCCAGATTACAAGTGGTGTGGATGTGTGCAGTTCTGTATGCTGACTTCCACCATGCATTCAGGGTCTGCATATAAAGGGGTGTGTGTGTGTGTGTGTGTGTATTTGATATAAAAATGTGTACATTGTGTCAGCGTGTGCCCAGTGTGTGTTTTCATGTCTGTCGCCTATAGTGTAGGTATTTGTGGGTGGCATGGGCAGTTTTTGTGTACCCAGTTCTGCAAGGAGTAACTTCAGTACACCCACAGGGTGCTGTCTGTGCAGGATTTTCTGTGCAGTGGACATGTGTCTTGTGGGTCTGGAATTTCATGTAGACATGTGTAGGTTCCCTTTTTTCTAGTTAGTCCACAGAGACATGTCCTCCAGGCTGCCAACCCCTAACCCACCTTTGTCCACCTTTAAGGAATGCTCAGTCACAATGAGTCTTCTTTGACCAGAGGGCAGAGTGGAGCTGGGCTCTTTGGCTTCTTCCCCAGTCCACCCTTTACCTTGATACACTGCACATGTTACACTGGATTTGGCCCCTGCCCCTTTAAACATCAGAGCAAGGGGAAAGAGGCCCCTTTCTGGCCAGATCTCTCCTTTAATAGGCTGCCTGTCCATTCTCTTTCTGGATCCCTCAAAGCCACGGCCAAGGCAGTCAACGTCCCAGGAGCCACCAGGGCAGAGCTCGAGGGCAAGGCCTGACTGAAGCCCTGCGGGGGGGGGGAGCCATTGCTGTCGCTGTACTCAGCCCCCACCACCTGGCACTGTTGCTGATTGTGCCTCGGAGAGGGGAAGTGTGTGCACTGATGTGTGCTCTTGAGTGGGCCTCGTCAGACTGGGTACGCAGACCTCAACGTTCATTCGCCCCCTCCGTCGGGCCCCGCGACAACCCATGGGCCAGCCCCTCTCCTGGCGTGTTAGAGCTGTGGCGCATCCCTGCCTGTGCGCGTGCACTTCTGCCTGGCACCCCAGCTGGCGCCCTCGGGCTCAGAACCTTCCCTGTGTGCGTAGGCCTCTCTGTACCTGTACCTGGGTCGCCAACTCTAGAGTGTAAGGGGCTTGAAGAGGAACAGCCAATTTAGGAATATTTTCTTCATTCCTGCCTCCCTCAACGAAAAACAATGGCGATCCGGGATTTGCACCGGAAACCTGAACCGACAGAATGGGATGCAAAACCGGGAAAATCTGTATCAAAGTCATTGACCCCTAGAAGCCGCCTGCCCGAGGGATGATATGTCAATCTACCCCTTTTCCGGCCTGCTCACCTATGCCTCCTTAGCCCCCACCCCAGCTCCGGTCCCGAGCCCCGACCAGGCCTCTCTTCTGGCCCTGCCCGAATCCTGCAGAATCCACTGCCCAGCGCCAGCACAGTTGATTACCCCAGGCAAGACGTACAGCTGATTAAAATGAAATGGCCTGGAAGCTGCCACAGCGCAGGGTGGGGATGCTGATCAATAGTGGGACTGGAGGCACAGGAGCCTGGCCTGTCTGGGACTGGGGTTGCAGGCACCAGGACTTCGGACCCTGGGACCAACAAGGGATGGTTGGGTTTTGGATGCAGAGAGGGCTCCAGTGAGGGGCTGGGAGGGCCAGGCCCCTTGCCTAGGCTGGCGGAGTAGGGGTGGAATTGAAACCCTAGTCTGGGCTGTTGCAGTGGAATGGCTTCCTCAGCTTCTTCTGAAAGGAGAACAGGCCAGCCTGGAATATTCTGGACCTAGCTCGTCAGTGGTCGCTGGAACCTCAGCCCAGTCCCAGGCCTGGGGATTGCTGGTTGTGCTTGGCCTCTTCCCCTGCTCCCTGTCTTTCTTTGCCTCCGTGGCCATGTCTGTCCCCGCCTAGGTCATTGTGTGGCTGTCACCTGAAGCACGGGCTGCCACCTCAGGGACTTTCCTGCGTCCTCCCTTACCCTCCACCCCTAAGGGCTGGGGCTGAGATGCCCAGCCTACTGGGATGCACGCCCCTGAGTCCTTGGGCTAGGCCCACTCAACTTCCCACCACCGGGCCCCTTCCGGCCCCAGCTGAGTTGAGCCTCCTTTGCCCCAGTGCATGGGCTGGAGCGGGCGTCTGGCCTGAGGGAGGGCAGGAGGGAGCCAGGGAGGAGGGGAGCAGTGCTAGCCGGGCTCCGATTTCTCCGGTCAGCTGAGCACAACTTTCCATTCGAGTGTATTCATGCAGTGGCTGATTGAACTCTGCTGTGTCGGGTGGGGCTCCATAGGAGCGGGCAGGCACAGCCAGGCTGACAGAGGCTACACCACACACACACACACACACACACACACACACACACACACTCAATTATCGACATAAATATACTCCCCATGTTATGCACACACCTCAACCCCAAGCCATGTCATCACAAACCCAGTAGAGCCCTTTCCTGTAGACACCCACCTGCCCCTAGAGCAGTTTCCCAGCATCTGTAGACGTCCGTCCCAACACAA